AAGCAGTGGTATCAACGCAGAGTACTCTACAAACCGTTTTTATGAAAAAGGACGAACATGGGTCGCTTATATACCAATGTAATAACCGAATATTTTGAGAAGAAACTGCCATTAATCCGCCTTCCATCCACTGCGTATTGAGTCTGCCCTATGCACGCCAATCAACCGAATCTTTAAAAAATCAGTGCCTTTCGAGCCGTTAAAGATCTATAAGATTCGCCCTACGCGCCGCTTACAACCAGGGTCAAGCAAAGGGTGTGGCACACGATCGCTGGTTACGACCCCCCCCCCTGATTGCTGTCTTAATAAGACCCCCCCCCCTGAACTATATTCTTAAGATAGCATTACCAGAGTTGAGAAAAAGGTCCGGCACGAGTCTTTCGAAACCCCTCCCCCCCCCAAAGCCCTCAAACGACCCCTTCTTCCTCCTCTTAACCTCTGGACCTCAAAGTGTGACATTCTGGAGGACACCATCTTCTTCTAGAGAGTTTTCAGATTTCTGAGAGCTGTACGCCCGATTTTCTGTGACTGCACTTTACAATCAAACGTAATATGACGGCTGATTTTGTCTGAATGGGCATATTGAAATGGCCATAATTTTTTTATGGGTGGGACGTTCGGCTCTAAATTTCCAATGTAGCAAAAGGAAGCTATGTGCTCAATACTCATACCAGCAATGGAGCGCTTTCTGGATTTTGAAGGCAAGTTAAGGGGGTGCGGCACACCCCCTTAACTATATCAAAGAAACATTTTTAGCGGACAGTATTTATATGAATCGATAGCCTAAACCTTGTAGATTCCATAGGACTGGAGCCTGATTTGTCTTTTTAGCTCTAAGTAATATTTGGTGAAAGCACAGCGATCAAAAGCGAAAAATGGGAAAAACGAGATTTTGGTTGGCTTCTATCTCCACAGTTTGCAGGTCTTCTGAAGCGGGATTCCCGTGGTGGACAAAGAAGGAGTAATGCTTTGTCTTGAGTGCAAAAACGGATAGCTAATTCACCTTTGAAACAAAGTTAACCATGTTGGAATTTGACCATTTCATTTAGGTAGCCTAGTATCTTGAATCTTCAGAATCCGCTCACACTTTGTCTACAGGGGTTAATTGACATGCTAATTATGGCACTATTATCAGATTACCCAACTACGACCCCCTCCCCTTTTGACTCCTCAATACGACCCCCCAGGTGTGGCGTGCCGCATCCCGCTTACAACCAGTAATTTGATAATGTATAGACTACCAGCCAGCATTGGTTATGCGACGTCCCTGCAGCAGCTTGCGACGATGCGGGTGATGCGTGCAAACTCTCTTACGCGAAGAGCACGTCGCATGCGACCGTGCATTCTCGCAAGGCATACCAGCGCGGAACCGATGCTGGTTAATACAACCTATACTTTCGCGCTTTTGCCGCAAACCTTTTACGAAAGCCTCATAGTTATCAAGGTAATAACAGTGTTTTAGGAAAAAAAATTTGAAAGGGTACAGATTTTCATTGCGGGAGTGTTTCTGTTGGGTCTTCGCTTCCCCCTCCCCTGGGTCCGCCATCACTGCGACTTAAATACACTGTTCCATAGTTGCAAAAATAGCAAACCTTCTCCCACCTCCTTTCAAAAAGCACTATTATATTGGATGGGTTTCAATATGAAGTGCAATTTCTATTTCTTTTGTGATTTTGTAACTTTGGTGAATCTGTAACTATTTCCTCGGTTGATTGGCGTGCATAGGGCAGACTCAATACGCAGTGGATGGAAGGCGGATTAATGGCAGTTTCTTCTCAAAGTATTCGGTTATTACATTGGTATATGAGCGACCCATGTTCGTCCTTTTTCATAAAAACGGTTTGTAGGCTGCCCTTAGGGTTATTTTTCTTCAAATATCGGTTTGTAGGGGTTCGCTGAGGCATTGCGGCCCATGAAGGATTTTTTTTCAATATGTGGGCGTGGGCACTTTCTTGATATCGGTTTATGGGGGATTGTAGGGTAACTACAACTGCAAATTCTATAAGACTATAAGCGGTATATAGGGCAGTTATATCCTGTTAAAGGATAATATCTAGGTAAGCGGCCTCGTAGGTCAGCTTTTCCTATATTATTGGATGGTGGGAGCTTACAGATCAATATTTTTGCAATAATTACCGATCTGTAAGCGGCCCACAGGATAGTGCTTCCTTCAATAAGTGTAAGTGGCCAGTATAGTTTTTTAAACTTTCTAGGGAGGGGGGGGGGGAGGGGGGGGGGGAAGGGAGTAGGGCAGTCGCGCAAAATACCGATGTATAAGCGGTACGCATGTTGTCTTTATTAAATATCGGTTTGT